GAGGAAAGAGCTCCTATTTATATAGGTGGAGAAAGGACTTTGGGACAGACTTTGTTTACCAAAAATCTGTCCAAAATGATAGCTTTTTTGATAGAAAATTTGCCCAAAACCAAAAATCTGTCCAAGAAATTGTCTTGTTTTACCAACTAGGGACAGATTTTGGGAGTATTATACTTTAAACAGTCCCCGAATAGTAAAAGCAACCAAACAAAGGCCCTACACTCAAGTACCTTCTACTACCCCCACAAACCAATATCAAACTAAACTATTGCTTCAAACTAGAAGGTGCAAAATCAGATAACTAGACTTGAATCATAAAACTAACAAAAGAACCTAATGACTACAAACAAACAAAACATGTAGTTAAGGCCTTAAACTAATTAGCTTAAACATAGACAAAACTAGAAATAATAAACATGAAATTGAAACTTAACAACTAAGGCAACGCAGAATACATGTTGATAATGAAACAACTATCGAGTTGACTCAAACACAAAATCAAAAACGATACTAAACACGAAGTAATGATCACTAACATATTTCAAACTAAAGCAAAATACCAAAATCAATCGCAAAACCAGAATATCAGTGAACTTCGCCAATTACAAATAGTTAATTGGATTTCACAAGTGATTAACAAAACTGATTGACTAAACAAAACGTAATGACAGAGTAAATGACTAACTAATACATGATTCGAAAGTATTGAGTAACGACTATTATCGATGATCGTTAATGAAGCTAACACGAACTAACAATCACAGATTAACAATTAATTGAAAACTAGAAGTTAAACTAAACCTAAACACAAATGGGGGAAAAACAGAAGTTATAAAAAGAGGGAAAGGATTGAAGCAATGGCCTAGACGATAAACAACAACAGAATTTCTAAAATCAACAAAAGACGACTAATCACTAATTAAGGAAAAATAGAACTTAAACTAAACTAAAAATCTAAAAATCAGTCAATAAAGGAGAAACTAAAACCGATGAACATGGGATTAGGATTTTACCTAAACACTCGGGCTTCGAACCAGTAGTACAACACAACTAGATGGCGAATCGACTTCCACGCCTTTTTTTCTCGATGACAAATACCGAAAAACACACAAACTTTGACGAGACAGAGTTGAGGCCAGCATTTTGTCAAAGAGAAAGAGAGGTAAGAGGGTCGTGCTCATGCTGGAACAGAGGCTCAGCGACGATGAGGTAGCGGTAGCGGCAATCGCAGCAGTGGGGTGGTCAGACGGCAGTGGTCGGGTTTCGGAGGTGAAATTAAAGGGAAAGTGTAGATTCTCGTAGAGATATACACGTCTATGTGAAGTTTGTGGGGTGGGTGGTTGGATTTTCTATGAAATTGAAGATAGGAATAAAGGGGCGGCTACCTAGGGTTTCAATTTTATGGAATTAAAGGAAGGTTTCGAAGGTAATTAGGGCTTGGATTTGAAGATAGGGTAGTGAGATGAAGGGAATGGTTCAAGTTGGGTAGTGTTTGGAGCACCACCGGCGGTGGCGCACGGTGGTGGCAGTAGAGGAGGCGACGACTTAAGAGAGGGGTTAGAGAGAGAGGAGAGATGGCAAGTGAGAGGAGGGAGAGGGAGATGGGGAAGATTAGGGTTAGGAGAATGGCAAAAATCTGATTTCTTAAGGTGTTTTATTTGACATGGGATATCAAATAAGGGCCATTGGATCAAGGAAATTGGACGGATGAGATGGATTGTTGAAGTCACTTAACCAAAACGATGTAGTTTTGATCCAAAACTATGTTGTTTGGACTCGCCCCTGGCAGCCCCATGTGACCGGGTTGTGAGCTATTTGGGCTAATTTTGGGCCAATTTGGCTCGATTCAATTAAAATACACTAGCTCAATCCCTTACCCCCTAATTATCTTATTTAGTATTAGAAAAAATATACAAGTAGAAAGAAAATCTTTTTGGGATATATAATTTAAAGATGCAAACTAAAATACACAAATAATAGGTAAAAAATATTTTTGGTACTTTTAATAAAGGGATGCAAATAAAAATGCACGAATAACTAAATATCATCCAAATATTAGTATTTGTAGGAGATTTAGAAGCGAGCAAAAATTAGGTATTCACAGGTGTATATGCTGAGGGTAATGAAGCTGCTATGATGAGTAATAAGGTGTATACTGGAGGTTACAATGGTGGAGAACAAACTAACAATAACTCTAATGGAGGTTAGGTGGATACAATGGTGGAGGACAAACTAATACTAATTCCAATGGAGGCTATAGACCTAGAAACTTATTTGGTAAAGGTGCAGTTTGGTGTGATTACTGTAAATATAAGGGTCACACTACAAAGAACTGTTTAAGCTTCATGGCTATCCTTCTGACTTCCAAAACAAGAGAAAATGAGGGGCACAAAATGCTCATGCTGACAGTGTGACAAGTTCTGGTATTCCAACTTCAGAGACACATGGTCAAGGATATCAGACTCCAACTTCTCCAGCTCATTTCTATACTCAGGAACAATACCAGCAGATTATGCATTTGCTGAACAAGGATAAGGAGGCTGAACCTGTTGCCAATGCTTCCACTGCAGGAACAACAGGTAGTATACGTGCATTTATGACAAACTTGATGCATAGTAACTGGATTATAGACACAGGAGCAACAAACCATATGGTTCATAGTTTGCACCTGCTAGAGAAGTATGATGAAATACCAAAAAATGTTAAAAGTAAAGTTCATTTACCAACTGGAGAACAGATGTCTATTACTTATACTGGTATTTTTTCTTTCTTCAAGGATAAAAGGATTCAGAACATTCTCCACATTCCAAATTCTAAATATAATCTCCTCTCAGTGTCCAAGCTCAGGAGTTGCAGTGTCTTGCAGCATTTTACCCTGATTTCTGTATCTTTAGGAACTCTCAAGTGGGAAGGTGTTGGGGATTGGTAAGGAAGAGCTGGGTCTGTACATTCTCAAGGCAGAAGACAAAGCAATACTCAATCACCAAGACATTCATTCCCATTCAATTGTACATATCATTCCAGGTGACACCAATAAATGTAGTAATCTAGCATACAATAAGACTTGTGTTGTATTTTCTTTGTGGCATCAAAGATTAGGTCATTCTCCCTTAAAGGTTTTGAGATCTGTAGATTCTTTTCATAATATGTAGCTGAAGGAACATCATTTTATTGTGTGTCCTATAGCCAAGCAATCAAGACTACCTTTTCCTACTAGCTCTTCTTGCTTTTAGTATATCTTTGACATTATGCATGATGATGTCTGGGGACCATATAGGGTGCCTATGCATGATGGCAAGAGATATTTTTTGACCTTGGTAGATGATTACTCCAGATATACCTGGCTATTTTTATTGCATTCTAAATCGGATACTGTTGAGGTGATTAAAAGCTTTATAGTAATAGCCTCAACACAGTTTGATCACAGACTTAAATGCCTAAGAACAGACAATGACACAGAGTTTTTAAATGACTAGATGCAGACCTTGTTGAAGACTCAAGGTATAGTACATCAAAGTTCTTGTACATATACCCTTCAACAGAATGAGGTCATTGAGAGAAGGCACAAGTCTATCCTAGACATGGCAAGAGCACTCAGGTTTCAAGCTTTCTAACCTCTCAAATTTTGGGGAGAATATGTCTCTACTACAGTCTACCTTCTAAATCGTTTGCCTACTATACTACTACAAGGCAAATCTCCATTTGAGAAGCTGTTTCACAGAAATCCTTCATTACAACATCTGAGAGTATTTGGCAGCCTTTGTTATGCCACTACCATAAAGAAAGGGGATAAGTTTTGTCCCAAAGCAATTCCAGCTGTTCACATGGGGTATTTCTCATCTCAGAAGGGCTATATCCTCTATGATTTGTGTTTAAAGAGGTTCTTTGTTAGCAGGGACACTGCGTTCAAAGAAGAAGTGTTCCCTTTCAAGCATATGTCTTATGGTTCTTCTTCCTTATTTCCTGTCTTGGAGTTTGTAGAACAACCTTCACAACCAGCTGCTTCCTCTAATGATTCTTCTTCTGCTGATACTGAATTTTCTGCGCCATCTAGCCAGCACTCTCCTAATGAAGTTGAAACTTCCTATTCTTCTATCTCAGCTCCTCAAGATCATGTTTAATGTACTATGCCCTCACCAATTCCCCCTCATGTCTCAGCTTGTGAACCATCTGCTCTTTCCATAGCACTCAGGAAGTCCTCTAGGACCACCAAGCCACCTGTGTGGCTAGCAGATTATGTGGTTCCACCAGATAAGTCTGCATATGTCAAACTATGTGGCCTATGATCAGTTGTCCTCTGCTTATCAATCTTCTCTTGCTGCATTCTTAACTATTATGGAACCCAAATCCTTCTTAGAAGCTAGTAGGGATCCCAAGTGGGTTGAGGCTATGCAAGCTGAAATCACGGCTCTTGAAGAAAACAACACCTGGTCTACTGTTCCTCTTCCTCCTAGCAAGGTTCCTATAGGTTGCAAGTGGGTGTTTAAAGTCAAATACAAGTCATCTGGTGAAGTGGAGAGATATAAGGCCAGGCTGATGGCCAAGGGTTACAGCCAACAAGAAGGATTGGACTACACAAAAACTTTCTCTCCTGTAGCAAAAATGATTACTGTGAGGGCTATGGTTGCATTAGCTGCTGCTTCAGGATGGTTTGTATTCCAAATGGATGTTCACAATGCCTTTCTTCAAGGAGATCTTCTCGAAGAAGTGTATATGCATGTTCCCGATGGCTTTTCAAGCCAAGGGGAGTGTCAGCATGTGTGGAGATTGCATAAGTCACTCTATGATTAAAACATGCACCTAGGCAGTGGAACCTGAAACTAAATGAAGCTCTTATAGATATGGGGTTTGCTCAAAGTCACTATGACTATTCTTTGTTTACTCGGAAGATGAATTCAGAGTTAGTAGTCATTCTTGTCTATGTAGATGACCTTCTGGTGACCGGAAGTAGTCTAAGACTGATCAACCAAGTCAGAAAGGACTTGTAGGAGAGGTTCAAGATGAAAGATCTTGGTGAACTTAAATACTTTCTATGGATTGAGTTCTCTAGATCTCATGAAGGAATTGTTATGTGCCAAAGGAAGTATGCTCTAGAACTAGTTTCTGAACTAGGCCTAGCTGGTGCAAAGCCAGCAACAACACCTCTGGAGTTCAATCAGAAGCTCACATCCATTGAGTTTGACAAGCAAATACCAGATGTTAGATCTACAGTTGATAAAGAACTTGAAGACAAGGGAGGCTATCAGAGACTAGTTGGAAGGTTGTTGTACTTAACCATGACAAGGCCTGACATTGCCTTTGTGTTTCAAGTGCTCAGTCAGTATATGCATGCACCTAAAGTTTCTCGCATGGAGGTTGCCCAAAGAGTGGTGAGGTACATTAAAACTGCTCCTGGACTTGGACTGTTTATGCCTGCAAAAGCAAGCAAATCTCTGTGTGCATACTGTGATTCTGATTTGGGGGGCTTGTGTAGAGTCAACGAGATCAGTGATAGGCTACGTAGTGAAATTTGGTGAAGCACTGATATCATGGAAGTCAAAAAAATAGGGAACTGTGTCCAGAAGCTCTGCTGAAGCTGAATTTCGAAGTATGGCCTTTATTGTAGCAGAAGTGGTATGGATAACAAGACTCCTTAAGGAGCTGGGAACAGAACTGGTTCAACCTATATAACTGCATTGTGATAGCAAGGCTGCTATACAAATTGCAGCTCACCCTATTTATCATGAACAAACCAAGCACAATGACATTGATTGTCATTTTGTGAGAGAAAAGCTCGTCCAAGGTCTGATTAAGACTCAACACATCCGAACAACTGAGTAGCTAGCAGATTTGTTGACTAAGAGTCTATGCAAGCCACATCATGAATATCTACTAGGCAAGCTGGGAATGAAGGCCCCGTTTGGCCATGAGTTTTGCCAAAATAAATTTGGGATTTATTTTCAAAACTCATGTTTGGCCATAAATTTTGCCCATATTTTGGCCAAATCCCAAATCTCAAATCTCAAATCCCAAAATCAGCTATTGAGCTGATTTCGGGCCAAAATCCCAAAACTTGGGAATTATATACATGTTTTTCCAAAATAAAGTTGGAAAATATATTTTGAAAACATATGTCCAAACACATTTTCATCTTCAAACCAAACTTCACCCAAATCAGATTTTTCAAAATAAATTTGGGATCTATGGCCAAACGCTAGCGAAAGATGTATTTCATCCCTCAGCTTGAGGGGAAATGTTGAGTATAGTGGCCCCAACTATTTATTAGTTAGGAGTAATTAGTTATAGCTACCATTAGTTAGTTAGTTAGTTGGTATTTTTGTATAAATACAATAGTTAGTTGATAGTACTGTACAACTATTCATTCTTCTTCTGGTTTAGCTAATAACAGAGATTGCATTTCCTCTCATTTCTTCTTCTTCTAGAATCTTCAAGCCCTGCCATGGCTGAAGACCCTTAACAGTAAAACTACTATAAGATTATTCTAAGATACGTGTATATGCTTCTGAAATAAATCACATCAATTATACATTGTATTCCTACCTCATCTCAAAAGAGACGAAGAAGACGAATAATCATAAAGTTCGAACTTTTACGAACACAATGAAGATTAAATGTTTTGTAAAGTTAAATTAGGGGTTTTTAACGAACGAATGTGAAACATCAATGTACTTATTACTATTTTGTGGCAATAAAATAGATCCAAATCCAATCCACCTTACTATACCAACAAGCCAACTCGATAGATAAAATTGTGATACCATGAGCAGACATTATCTCTGTTTTCTTTGTAATTAAATTGCTCACCACACATATGAGACGCATTTAAAGGGGACATATGGAATTGATTTCCACCTAGATTTTCTAGAAAAATAAAAATAAAATCGGCCCATCTTTACCCAAAATCTATAGTTACTTTATATCAATGTTGTTATGACTGTTACTTAAAAAGTTAGTGTTGTGGGTTATTACATGTTCCTTAGAAACACATATATCAGTTATCACGTATTTTATCGAACTCAATCATATAAAATTCCACGTAAGCTCGTCTTTCAATTAGAGGTATTTAAAATAATAATTTGAACATATTCATGTATTTGGATGAAAATTCGTGGAATTAGGAGCCAAGAACATAACTATGTGCAAGTACAAGTGTCTATTTGCCTCTTAAGCCTAAAAATATTACTAGTAAATATTTTGATCTTCGTACTCCAAATTGCGGGCGAAGTACATAAATAGCTCTCAAAATGGATGGTCTTGAATTTTTGTCTCCGCTTGTCTTGTGATTGTCTCCGCTTGCCTTGTGAACAGAACTTCAAGTTTAACAAGTATTGGCCTTCGCATGTCCTAAGGGCAACACTTTTTTGACCTTGAAATTCTGCCCATAGAACAAGCAAAGGTTTAAAGGTAAAGACCAAACCAAAACGTCTCATATTTTTTCAATTTTTTCGCCAAATCTCACCATCAAATCAATATATTTTATTTTAGGCTCAAAAATATGTAATGTAGTATAGGATAGTACAACAACTCATAAATCTCTTCCCTGTATTGTCATGCCTCAGTATTATATTTCCAAACATGGTCTAAGAAAATTTGTTATATTCCCAAAAATTCCAAATAAAAGAGAGAGAGAGAGAGACAAAAGTTATAAGAAATTTTACCTCCTATAGCAAAGGTATACACCCTATTTATTATAAACCAAAATCATTTTAAAATATTATTTTCTATAGCTACATTTTATATTTTATAGCAAAATAAGTATTTATGATATATACTACCATTGAGGCATGAAATACGCTATTTATGCTTTTCCTCTCTCTTAGACAGCTGGACATACCTATTTTAAGGTGATTGCCGTTACTGTTTCCATGAATACATGGCGCGAATACATGTGAATACATGCGCGTACAATTGGACTGCCATAATTTTATGCACTTTTTACTGCTGTATTCATGAATACAGCAGCGCGAATACATGTGAATACATGCGCGTACAACTGGACTGCCCTGATTTTAGACGCTTTTTGCTGCTGTATTCATGAATACATGCGCACGAATACATGTGAATACATGCGCGTACAGCTGGACTGCCCTAATTTTAGGCGCTTTTTGCTGCTGTATTCATGAATACATGGCGCGAATACATGTGAATACATGCGCGTACAGCTGGACTACCATGATATTTAGGCACTTTTTGCTGTTGTATTCATGAATACAATAGCGCGAATATAGCGAATACACTACCGTAACAACTGAATAGTAGCTAGAGGAAGTAATTATGTATATGGTAACTATAGGAAGTTAATAGCCACTAAACAATAGCGATTTATGACTATTGTTAATGGACACCGGGTATAATGGGCTTCCTCCATGGTTGTTACAGAGTACTAACCTAAATAGCCGTTCAACCAAGCATTTAAATTAAATAGTTGATGAATATATAATATAGTTATATTACACATAAATTATAACTGTATAATATATATATAAAGTAAACGGTGAATCCGACGGGCTATTTGTGAAAAGATCGGGGCATTTGCATCTATACCCGCTTTTTGTGTCACATTTTAGCTTGTGCCCGCTTTGCAAAAAAAATTGCAAGCGTACCCGCTTTTTCGCATAACTTCAGTACACGGGGCTGAAGTAGCAAAGGCAATCACGCAAAACTTCAGCATTCTAGTAGCCGGGCCTGAAGTTCAGCTCTAGAGCTGAAGTTTTTGTTATAACTAGCGAACTTCAGCTCTAAAGCTGAATTTTTTGTGTTGTAACTGGAAACTTCAGCTCTAGAGCTGAAGTTTTTGTGTTGTAACTGGGAAACTTCAGCTTTAGAGCTGAAGTTTTTGTGTTGTAACTTAAAAGAGATCCTTTTTTCCTTTTGAATGTATGCTTTCACTGCACCTATTGTATCCTCTGGTTCAACCATTAAAGAGAACTCATCCTGAAGCACCGGCAAGTTGAGGGAATGAGTACATAAATTGGAAGTTAGAATCAATATCATCGTCTGTAGTGTTTATAGCGATTAAGCACATCGTCTGTAGTGTTTATAGTGTTTATAGAGATTAAGCACCTCGTTTGCAGTCAATGAAAACGAAACCCATTATTTTCCCAGCAACTTTCAACTTTTGGAACACTAAAACGCAATACTTCAGTTTCTTCCATTTTTGCTTTCTAATTTAGATCATAATGCATGCAGAAATGGGGAAAGAGTGCCAGGGGTTTTTGGTAGAGGAGCTAAGGGTCTCCACAAGGGACAGTACTACAGTAACGGAAAAAAAAAAAAAGAAGAAGAAGAAAACGAAGGAGGAGAAGGAGGAGGAGAAAGGAGCTGAAATTTTTTAAAAAGTGGGTACAAGTTAAAAGTTTAAAAAAAAAATGGGTATAGGTTAAATGAGGGCGACCAAATACGATGCCCGTGCAATTTTTAAGAAAAGATCCGGAGTTTACTCTGGGCTTTTGGATGAAGAATCCGGCCTGTTACACTTTTCTATCGTCTTCTCCAATCCTCTGCTACTGCTAAACCCTGACAGAACCCTAATTCCCTCCATTTTCAAACAAGCACCATTTCCAAATGGCTCTCTCCAAACACACCTTTTTCACCCATCACCTCAAAACCCTAGCTAAACCCCATTATCTCCGCCGCCCTCAACCACCACCACCTTCCTTCATCTCCCTCCGTCTCCTCTCCTTCGCCACTCCAGAAGAAGCTGCCGCCGAACGCCGTAAACGCAAGCGCCGCCTCCGTATTGAACCTCCTCTATCCTCGCTCCGCCAACAGAACCAACCTCGTCCTACAACCCCTCAAAACCCTAGCTCCGCCAATAACCCTAATGCCCCGAAAATCCCTGAAACTGTTTCCGTACTCACCGGAAATAGACTCAATCTCCATAATAAGATTCTCAAACTGATTCGTGAGAATGATCTAGAAGAAGCGGCGTTGTACACGCGCCACTCTGTTTACTCCAATTGCCGCCCCACTATCTTCACGTGTAACGCCGTTATGGCTGCACAGCTCCGTCAGTCCCGTTACTCCGACCTGCTCTCACTTCACCGGTTCATCACGCAGGCTGGCGTGGCGGCGAACATCGTCACACATAATCTGCTCCTCACGGCTTATATGGATTGCCGTAAAACTGATATGGCTATGGAACATTACAAACAGCTTATTAATAATGCACCATTTAACCCTTCACCGACGACTTATCGGATACTTATTAAAGGGCTTGTTGATAATAACAAGATTGATAGGGCGTTGGAATTGAAGGAGGAAATGTTATCTAAGGGTTTTAGTGCTGACCCAATTGTGTATAGTTATTTGATGTCTGGACAAGCTAAGGGTTCGAACGCGGATGGTGTTTTCGAGCTTTATGAGGAGTTGAAGGAGAAAATGGGAGGGTATATTTCGGATGGAGTGGTTTATGGGAGCTTAATGAAAGGTTATTTCTTGAGGGGAATGGAGAAGGAGGCAATGGAGTCTTATGAGGAAGCTGTGGGAGAGAATTCTAAGATTAAGATGAGTGCTGTGGCGTTTAACTATGTTCTAGATGCTTTAAGCAAGAACGGGAAGTTTGATGAGGCTTTGAAGTTATTTGATAGGATGTTGAATGAGCATGATCCTCCGAAAAGATTGACTGTGAATTTGGGTAGCTTTAATGTGATGGTGGATGGTTATTGTGCATTGGGAAGGTTTAAAGATGCAATTGATGTTTTTAACAGCATGGGTGAGAAGAGGTGTAGACCAGACACGTTGTCTTACAATAATCTGATTGAGCAGTTGTGCAAAAACGACTTGTTGGGTGACGCTGAGGACCTTTATAAGGATATGGGAGAGAAGGGGGTCAGCCCCGATGAGTTCACATTCGTTTTGTTGATGGATACTTGCTTTAAAGAAAATAGGCCTGATGATGCTGCCGCGTATTTTAAGACTATGGTTGATGCTAAATTGAGGCCTAATCTTGGGGTTTATAATAGGTTGGTTGATGGGTTGGTTAAAGTTGGTAAAGTTGATGAAGCAAAATCATTTTTTGATTTGATGATGGGAAAGCTGAGGATGAATGATGATAGCTACAAGTTTATGATGAATTCATTATTCGAGATTGGGAAGCATGATGAGGTGCTTAAGATTGTGGATAGAATGTTAAGGGAGGATCCAGCCGATTTCACTGATGAGTTGCAAGAGTTTATTCGAGAAGCCTTGAGGAAGGAAGGTAGAGATGAGGAGTTGACCAAGCTTATCGATGACATTGAAAGAGAGAAGAAAGAAGCTGCAGCTGCGGAAGCTGAAGCAGCTGAAAGAGCAAAGGCCAGTGCAAGAGCTGCTGTTTCTTCCTTGATAAATAGTCCTAAATTGTTTGGAAATAAGGAGCCTGAAGAGCAGTCAACAACTGCTGGTGAGGCTGCCAACAGCAATGATGATGTTAAACAAGCTGTCCCTGAACAAGAGGTGAGTGCTCAAGAAATTGCTGCTGACGCTAGTTCTGCTGGTGAGGGTGCAGAAGCTGAGAACCTGGTTGCTACAGAAGCTAGAAGTGATGGTGCAGTTTGATCGGATAGCAGCATGAAGTTGCAATATGATGTTGACAACTGATGAGAAAAATAGCAGGTTTCTTTTCATGCTGTCACAGTTGCAAGCATGAAATAAATCCTCTTTTGATAAATTGCTGGTGGTAAATTGTGTAATTTAGATGAAAATGAAATGAATGATTTTCTATATCATCTTTAAAGTAAATGGTGGGCGACAAGTTGTAATGCAACAATGTATGGTGGAATCTAATTGTTATTATTTCTTGTTACACTAATACATAAGTTATATTGTGATTGTAGGTTTACCTACAAGGTAGTGTTATTGACATGGTTAAATGTTACGAGGCATTAGCTTCCAATCTATGCTTGCAGTTTAGTCTTTGACACTAATTCTGGTTGCCTAAATACTCGTGGCTATAACAGTATTCAAGCAGAGAGCACCTGCCATAATGTGAACAAACTGCAGGCGCTATACTGTAATCTGTTCTTGATTAAAAAAAAGTGTAGATCTGTTATGGGGTTAGCCTCTTTTCATGAAGGATTCTTGCATTAGATTTATCTTTGAATTATTTGGCGGCATGGACTATTAATACCTATATTAGATTTATCATAGAGATTCTATTATGGAATACAATCAAAGGACTCGTAAAATTAAAAACTTGAAAAGTAAGGAATTAGCGATGGCCTTTGTTTAATAAAGAGCAAATGGAAACTTTATAATAGTGGACAATGGTGTTGGCCATTTCGTTTATTCTTATTATTAGTATTAGTATTAGTATTACATCTTCTATTATAGCCATAGGCGATAGAATAATCATTATAATGAACCTTGATCCAGATTGTTTCTAATTATCATGAATCATTCAAGATGAAGCTATGAAACACAAGAAACTGTAAGATGGTTATTAACAATTGATATAACTAAATCTTCAGGGACAATGATATGTAGCCGGGCAGAGCATGAATTTACGACGGTACAAACAGATTGCTGTCTGTCTCTTACACCCACTGTCACATGCACATACATCCACAGGAAAAAATAAGGGAGGGAAAAAACAATCATACAGAAAGATAAATTAGCTACAGAGATTTGGTATGCACACTCCACCCTCTGGATTTTGCTGTTCCTTCCATATCCTTCCAGTAACCCGAAGTTTTAGCTCCTTTCGATCCCCACCAGAAAAGAAAAGCGCCATGTTACGTTGGATTATAAGACCATCATGACTGTCCCTGACCTTGCGGTGGCTATCTCGAATACTTCTTGGTGTTCCCTCCCATATGAGCTTTCTACCATTTGCACCTACTTCGAGACTATAGCTGTAATTGCGTGCCTCAGTCTCATCGCCCATAAATCGTAGAAAGGCCATGTAAACAGGGGCCACTCCAAGCTGGAAAGCCTCAAAGTGGAGACAAAAATACTGCCCAAAACAATGGAAGACCTGAGAAAGGAGCAATTAGGTTTAGTCAATGAGAATGTACTTAGGATACGTCAATAGAAATATATGAGAGGAGATTTTTTCTGGTTCCACTGTCTTAAAAGGCAAAAGTGGAATTATTCAGAATGTGTGCCACCATAAGATGTCCAGAGAAAATTTAAAACACATCATGCCTCAGAACTCTTCCCTACCTATGTTGTATTTGAATATATCAAAGTAAAATGTACACCCTTTAACTCATAAAAGGCCAGTTTTTCTTTTATTTGAGGAAATCATAAGGAGCACTTTTGTTTTAGGTGATAAGGTGCACTTTGTTCATTCACTGTTTTCAGAAACTCAATACCCAACTAATAAGAACCTTTAACCTTTCAATAAAATGATATAATATTGTCCAACACGTTCCCTAAGACAGAATCTCCAGGAACCAATCAAGAAAGAGAAGATGAGTACAGAAAGAGAGAACAAGAAGATAATGCAGGGTATTACAGCAAAAGCTACAGAAATGTCATAGATTAATCTGGTTATCCAAGTTTTCCAAATTTGAATAATTCATCCACAGAACTTTTACAGGTTTATTAGTCAGCTAGTTGGGTGGATGAAAAGGAAAACTTAAAAGCTTCATTATCCAAGAAAAGCAATGAAAAAAATGACACATGATGTTCATCGGTCACCATTATTGTTGAACTCCAAAAAGTTAAAAATATAGCTGGACTTACCGTCAGCATCCATGTGGCATTTTCTACTTCTCGAGGATTTGACTTCACGTAACGGTGGTTGAATGTGCATCCGGTGTGCATATCCACTTTATGATCATCTCTTAAATGTGCAACCAAATAAGGGATGTCACCGGTCACTGAGCACTCTGATCCAGCATATGGGCAACTGTATGGTCTAAAATTGCACAGTGCCTCATGCTTGAGCTTACTGTAATACGGGAATATTTCTGGGCACCCCAAAGAATAATATTTGCAAGGGAGTTCAAGTGACTCTGCAACCTTCTCAAGTGCTAAGCACCTTATATCACCAAGTTCTTGTCTGCATGTAGGACAACGATTATGCACCCTCGTTTTGCAGGTAGAACAAAGCGTGTGTCCATTATGACACTGCAAAATAAACAAACTTTTAAGTCTTCACCACTCTATGTACTCTAATTTAAAGACTAAACGAACAAAAGCATCAAAGATTATCATTGGTCACTCAGTTTATGCACCAAACTACAACAACAACATACCCAGTATTATCCCACACCGTGGAGTCTGGTGAGGATAGCGTGTACACAGACCTTACCCCTACCTTGTGAGAGGATAGAGAGGTTGTTTCCAATAGACCCTCGGCTCAGGATAGTATAAGTACCACATTAATGAAAATATAGGCAAGAAGGGACAGTGCATTCCTCATTGACGCCGGCGTCGCATGAGCATGGCCGACCCAAAGGGCACGGCCAAGTCCAAGACGAGCACGACCGTCATGCACCAAACTATCATACAAAAAAACAGTTTACTCACAGCATCGAGAATCTTAAGGAACAAATGTTAATAAACACGAAAAGCTATAGGGAAAGGAGAAGGCACATATTCGTTAGTGGTTGTACAAGCTCAACGTTCTCTAAGCACATGCATTTCCGCTCTATCTGATGTAGGAAAGCAGGCTGCTATAAGATTTAGCCAGCAAAGCCTTCTTTTACTAATTGACAATAATTTGGTAGGCAAAGTATCAGTGACAAATTTCCAGCTTGGTCCTTACAGGCGTACTATAAATGAAACAAAAAGGCAGCACCTAGATATGCTGAGGAGTTTCCACTTCTGCATATAAAATTCCTAGTGGCGTTCAGTAATAAGTAATGTCGAATGTCAATCAAGTCACCTGAAATAACTACAAAGAATCATGTCACCTGAAATATACTCTGAGATTGTACCGACAGGCTTACTATAAATGAAATAGAAAGACAATAACTATATATGCTGATGAATTTCTACTTTCAGCATATTATTCCTAGTGGTATTCGGTATGTCCTGGAAGGCCATAGTTGAATTACTCCCAGCGCGAGTACACCATTTATAACTTGTTCAAGAAAATTTGGATATGACTACAGAGAGTGAAGTCAAACTTATCTATTACAGTTTGCCCAAGAAAGTTTGATGTGTCATTACAAACACATCAAACTTATCTTACACAATTGCTTGTCCATCTCCCTAAGTCTCACTTCCTGCCCAACGAGGAGGAATTTTATGTTTTTATTTATCTTTGGATGGGGTGAGGGTGGTAGGGTTTATTGGGTCTGCCATAGATTGAGTGCCTTCCTGACAGAGACCTCATTTTCCTGACAATCCTATCCCATAGATGTACATCTATGGGACCAAATTCATCCAAGCTTCTAAGACTACACTAGTTTGACCCTATATAATGAGTACGACCCTAATAAGGCTGCACAAATCTCAATCAAAGAAAATGAGCTTCAAGGAGCAATAATCAGCAAAATATGACTAACCAATCTACACAGCCGGCAGATGTGACAACAATGTAACTCCCCCACAGAGCTGCTATACTAAGTCCCTAAAGGGAGAGACTAATTTTCTTTTATTATGTGATGTCGAGGTCTGCTTGCGCACACTTGCACGGTTCAATCAAGTACGCGATACCTCCCACTATCACAAGTATTAAGATATGACTAAATTAGGCCATGTCCAAATTATTTGTGTAGTGGCTAATTATTCTTGATGCCAAAGTAAATTGTGTGGAGCCAATGTATTTTTGTAGCCAAAGAATAAAAGTTTTATTTTTTAATAGGAGACCAAGAATATTCTCTTGTAAGTAGGTATCTCACTTCATTTTTATCCCTCCCATTCTCAAATACAAATTTTTGTATTCTTTAACATTCCTGGTCCTGTAGTTAGTTAAAGAGTTCATTACATTCCATAGAAACACTTTTGAGCGAGCCTCTATGGAAGTGATTGTAGTGAGGTTTCTGGAATAACTAGAGTTTTATCTCTAATTTTGTACACTCTTTTGTGTAACTGTTGATATAGTAGAATTGCTACTCTCAACCCGTGGGTTAGGTATCACTTACCGAACCACATAAATTTGTGCCTCCTTTATTTGCATTACTTACCGTCACTATGAACTTGCATTGTGTTTGTTATTGTAGTAGCCTTATAATGACAATACATAGACAAAAGTCATGTGAAACATCAATCTTACTCAAATCCATAAGAATAGAATCAAATGTGTCGATATGTCAGCATATATAAGTACCTTAACCATACGAAGCATGTAATTTCTTCAAGTAGAGTCTATTTTCTATTGTCCTATTCATATACGAGGCCTTCAATTTTTCTCACATGCCTTTAACAATGGTTTTCTGAAGCGCTTCACGTAAAACCTCATCAGAAAGATTTAATATAATACTTGATTTTGCCTTTTTATCAAGGCTAGCAAACACCTCGTCCATCATTTTCTCTGGCTTATTCTCCTTTTCGTGTAGCGCCAAGTCTATCAATCTTAGATTACGATAGCTTCCATCTTAAGCCGCAACATACTAAAACTTGCATTTCGGTCAAATTTTTCAACATAAGTCTCTATTACCGTCATGGTGACTGTTAGGACAAACTGGATTAACTTGGCACTAGTACCAATTTGTAAGGATCAGGATTCCAGGTAGTGTCATTTCCCAACACTATTCCTGTGAAATATGTTAAACTCTCTAACTATGTATAAACTCGAGATAATACAAAAGATTTGTAATTGAGAATGGGATGGACAGAAATGAAGAGGGAAACTATGTTCTTGGCGTCCAATTTCTTAAAAAAAACTTTTATTCTTTGGCTCCAAGAATATTTTGACTTCACACAATTTACTTTGCCTTCAAGAATACTTAGCCACCAACGAAATAATTTGCACGTGGCCTAATTTAGGTCATATCTCATAAGCCGACACAATTTACTTTGGCTCCAAGATACTTGGTATCCGGCATTAGGTAACTCTTCCATCAACGTTTTAACAAATAAAAAGAAATCACCGTCAATCACGCGTTACTTGAAAGTCAGGATAGATACCACTCTCAGTTAGTACTTACCTCTTTTTAAGCAAGAACTCTTAATCGTTTGTATCCCATACCCATGGGCCTCATTGAGACAATAGTCGGAGTTTACAAGCTGCTTTGATTGGAGCAGGTTAAAAAAGATAGCTGAAAGTGCTAGCATAAGGAAGAGATTTTATGGATGGAAAGAGGTCCTTACTTTTTTTCAAGGTTTCGGAATTCAAAGTCAAATGATTCTTAACATTTTTTTTAATCTATGCTACAATCTGAATTATAGTTTTCACCCACTTCATTGACAGCCGGAAGATACCCTTGGATACAAGGATCTGACTAACCTTTCTCATTTACCTACTCATGGAAGGATTCAAAATTAAAATACAGAGGTCATAAGGCTGACATGTTTAATGGACAGGCATGAGGCAGCAAATCATCTCTCCTCATATTCATAAAAGATTTAAGTAACCAAGCCAATTGCAGAGTAGTCAAACTCAGTTGCCGTCATTTAGCAAACAGTCAAAAGTAATATCGCATATCCTATAATCTGCAGTCATTTTCAAGAACTCAAGCTGCGGCAAGTTGATTATAAATTGGTCAATCTTTATGAAATTGATAAAAACCTAATCAAATTCTCAAGGCAAACTTCCATAATCATCAGCATACCACAGTCAAACTATCTGCTTTACATCTACCTAAAGTTTTCACAGTATTCCTAAAGACAGTAAAAAAAAAAAAGCACTCGAAATTCTAAAGAAATCACCTTTAAGGTAAAATAAATAGCACAAAGATCAACATATTTGCATCATTATCCATCAATAGAACAGTAAACATTAATAATCGAAAAAATTCAAAGACCTAAAAAACCAACGTTCATAAAAGGGACAAAAATACTACCAACAGCGAAACTCAAAGACAGAAAATAGGTAATTTGAGAAGTCAAGAGAAAAAGGAAAAAGAAAAGACCTGATGAATAGGAGGGTACATAGAATTGGTGCAAACGGGGCATTCAAGCAATTCATGGACACTAGTAGGGGCAATTCCGGAAGGAATAATGTTGTGAGTTTTTGCAGAAGAAAATTGATGCACAGAAGAAGACTGGATCTCTTCATCTTCTATGCCATCAGATAACGACACACACTCTATACTCTCCATTTCCATTCCTTCTTATCAAATTGAGAAAAAAGATTCAATCTTTTTCTCCCCACCCAATAAATAACAAGTCACAAATCGCATTATTCAAAATTCACATTTCTTAACAATAGAATTTGAAGGAAAAAACTGGAAAAAAAGGAGAAGAGAAAGGAAAGGAAAGATCGGGTTTTTTGATGGATTCTGAGGAAGAACCAAACCAAACAAGCCCTGAAAAAGAGGTTCTTTTCTTCTCTCTCTCTCTGCACCTGAATTTTTGTGTGAGAGAAATGAGGATCACCGTCAAATTCCCGACATAAATTGTTGTTAGATCTTTATCTGACGGCCAATGATTTTTCTTAATTGTTGCTTTTGGCGAATATTTAATTGTGATTTTTGGGTTCAATATGCCAATCTTAAATTCCCAATACAGCTATTTGGCGCTTATTGTTTTTCCTTTTTGGTCTTTTGAAAATGGTATATTATCCGTATTTTATTTAACTGCAGATAGAAAAATAAAAACTACTTTGCAACTCTAGAAGAACAATTACTTACATTTTATATTTATATCAATCTAATGGATACTTGATATAAGTTATTGCATACACTTATATATATAAAAAAACTCTGACTTTTTACTTCATTAGGATAAATTACGTAATATTTTTCTGGTGTAGCCATTGAATATAGGAATGTTAAACTCCCTGCTATAGTTAATGGCGGAGCCACATGCATTTAAGGGATATTAATTGACAACCTTCACCGAAAAATTACACAATATATCTAATATATATATATATATATATATATTTCCATTGACATACTCGTGGATTTATTTCTTTGCTATATCATAGGTATGACTTATGAGACTAGACTTGCTATTAATTTTCTTATCCTTAAATATGGGTATTTTGCGGTGGATTCATTAATTAAAAACTATTAAAAGTTTAATAACAGCATGATATACATGCATTTATGGATTAATTAGGAATTAAGTCATACCTCGGTACAACTAATGATGTTATTATTACCCATTTTATTTAAGCAACATATTTAAAAAATCCAGCAACAAATAATTTAAAAGAGCCGACTTCTTTATGGACGGTGGGCTGCAGGTCAACGCCCTGATGTTGAAATGAACAAATGAAAAAAAAAAATCTTTTATTTCTCACCGTTCGTTCTTATTTAAAATTTCATCCAAAAGACGTCGGTAAAATTCGACTGGAATTTAAATGTATATGAGGCATCACAACAACAAGGGATACGTTAAGACTAAGTCCTTTAAAATAAACAAGATATTTAGAATCACTAGGCGTTTGACCATAAAAAAAAATGTGAGATATGAAAAAAAGTAATTTTTAAAGTTAAGTTGAAACTCATCGTAAAAGAAATCAATGAAATGTATAATCAACAATATTTTGAAGATGAGTTTCGGAAAAAGGAAAATAATTTACTCGGAAAAAGGAAAATTTCTCATTTATTTACTTCTCTTGAGTCAATGATATATCGCTTTTTCAGTAAATACAGAAATAGCTCTGAAATGCAGGACTTAGTTTTACTGATTTTCTATGATTACCAGTAGTCGCCAACCAGATCTACTCTTGAACGATATTCATATTATTTTTTATAACTGAAAAATTCTCGTGAGCTAATGATAGCCGGCCTAAAACTCGATGGATAAAAGACTCGCTTATTTACCTTCTTCACTTATATATTAGGTTTTTATTTTCGGAAAATATTCAAATTCATTGACTTGTGCCTAATCCACATGTGCATTGTGCTCTTACGAGTGAAATAATAATTATTTGATTGACTATAATTAACTTTTTTCGGGTTATGTGTCACAAGCTAACTTTCTTTGGATTTTCTACAAGTTTATCTGAAGGGGATTGGATAGTGAATAGATAGTTCAAATTACTCCTTCCTTCTCAATCTTCGTGACGAGGTTAACTCGGTACATAATTAAGAAGAAAAAAAAAAATTAGAAACTTATATTCTAGAATAAGCCATAGATATTTGTATGACCATAAATTATCCAATTAAGAATACAATGTACATTTTAAAATTAAATTATTACTAAATATAAGATGACATTCTTTTTTGGACTGACTAAAAAGCGAAGAACGCTACATATTGTAGGACGGAGGGAGTATGAAACTAGGCGCCGGTTCATATTTTTATGCCCGACTTTGAAGTTTGAACCGCAAGTTATGCACCATTATGTGAAAATAGCACGGCCTAGCTAGTTTTCAGGCTGGTAATTGAAAAATAGCCAGCATTTGCAAAGTTTGCAGCATAATATGCTAGATTATGGAGCTCTTGCGTATAAACTTTGAGGATATTATGTTGGAACTCCAGCACGGAAAATTCCAGCATAATGTATTGGATTATAGAGCTCCTCCATTTAAACTTCCTGCATATTATATTGGAACTCCAACAATAATTAGTGCACGAGTTTGGTGAATAGTAGTCACAATAAAATTATGCAACTGCTTACACCTTTTAGGCCACTCTCACCTTTGCGTGCCCATCTTCCCAAACTTTTACAAAAAGAAATCTTAGAGTTCAAACAACAGCCAGAATGTACCAAAACATATCATTTTATACATCTCACTACTCTCTCCAAATAAAGTCCCTACCCAAATTGCTATCATTATCATTCTACATGCAATAATCAAAACGATTGCTAACTACAACTTACAGCTCTTCTTCTGTGTCTTGGCCAATTGGAACATATAGTGCAGTACGGTGTCTGCTTTTCTTCGCTTAAATATCAAGCTTTTGTCTGCGCTAAGGTTTAAACTAGTCACAGGCGCCTAATCCACCAATAACATGCGCCTCCACATATCATGTATTGTACTCTTACCACTAGGCCAAACCCCAGGGGCCATTCAAGCAAATAATTAAAGATGGCCATTTGGAGAAACAGTGTTACAAACACTATGATATAAAATGAATGACTGAAAAAGAATTAAGAGTTCCTCAGTTCTTCAACCATTTCTAAATGACGACTAGCACATAAGAGCATGTCAGTTCCATTAATGGCCAAGAAGAAAGTTGAGGATGATGGTTCTAACTTCAGAATTATAGCTGGAGTAGATGAAAGAATAAATAGCAAGATAACAGTAAAACACAACAAAAATGCAGTATGAAAGCACATTGAGCTTATTAAATTAACACTGTTTATTTGAATTTAGATTACTGTACACAAGTGAGACCAGAAATACACCTCACAGAACATTTACAAAGCTACAATGGAAGGAAGCTCTTGTTCCGCCTCATGGTCTCCGTCAGACCCCTCCAGGTTTGTCTGTAGTAGTACAACACGAAAAACGTTAAGGACTTGTTTCGTTTGAGGTATAAGATGAAATATGCATGGCATAAAATTTGGAATTCCTTATTCAGTGTTTCGTGTGTATTTTGAATCTTGCATAGTTAATCCTAATATAATTTAATACACCAATTGGTGTTTATTACATAATATAGCATGGGAAAACAGTACATGAATTAAGTAATACTCCATGGATTAAATGCAAAAGACAAAATTATCCCTTGTCTTTTCATCAACCCATCAACACCCTCTACTAATCCTTGCACTACTAATCTCTCATTCTAATCCCTACATTACTAATCCCTGCACAACTAATCCCTATATTACAATCCATGTATAATTGTTTGTTAAGCAAAGGTCCCTTAATAGTATGATTTGACATTGTATTTACAACAAATGTTTGGTTGGTGAATAGAAAATATTTTCAGAAAAGAAAAGCAGTCCCATAAAAGATTAATAATAACATTAGCATATCTGAGAGCATTTCAATGAAAATTTTAAGTAATAAAGATTAATAATAATGTTTAAGTGTTAGCTGAAGTAACTAATATGAGGTTAAAGGTTTAATATAGTTGTTAGGAAAATTTATGACACCGACTTGGTGTTTGTCAATGAAACTTTTTGACTAATTGAAGAAAAGATAGTCATAACTCGTAAGGAAAATGACATCTGCCGATAAGTGAGGGAAGTATTTTCTCCCTTTTGATGGAAAATATTTTTCTTGGAACATGACTTCCTCCCGACGAAATGCTAAAAAATGACTTCCTACCGGAAAACATTTTCCTGAAATGATTTCCATCATATCACATATATCCTAGATCATGCGAGGTTAAACTAACCTCATAATCCTTTGGACTATTCTGTGAAAAGTGGCGATCAAATGCACCCTTGCCATAAAGGATTTTAGCCCCACATCCTCGCCCCTCAGCTCCGACAGACTCCTCATCAACTACAACGGCATCTATTATGTCATCGCCTGTTCTGACATCAGGAATCTGCAAACATACAAATTAGAAATATTCTAGTGGAAAAGAATGAAAAAATAGAAATAAAAGAAAATTGTGGTATTGATTGAACAAGGCAACACACTACATCTTGTGAAGAATGTATCCCTCCAGGATTTTAAATAAATGGCAACCCAATGCACTAAGCTCCCGCTATGCCCAGGGTCCGAGGAGGGGCCAGACCACAAGGGTCTATTATACGCGCCTTACCCTGCATTTCTGCAAGAGGCTGTTTCCACAACTCGAACCCGTGACCTCCTGGTCACATGGCAGCAACTTTACCAGTTACGCCAAGGCTGCCCTACGCTGCCTCCAGTTTATTTTAAATTTTGTTTTGATGGTTCCCTCAAGGTTTTGATTAATTGTTTTCTGTTAATTAAGTTTACAACTGTTTTCAGCTAAAGCTTTCATATATATATTCAGTGAGCCAACAAGTATTTGTCATCAACTCAGAGTACTCTGTAATATTCAAATGCACAGAGTTGAACCTGCATATTCTAAGTACAATTACAGAGATGTGCAGAATTTGAGCTAAGACTTCATAGTTTTTTTAACACATTATGTTCAGCAGATTATCCCAGTCAGAGAGAAATCCCACACAACGAATCGTCGAGTCCTTATTTTTTCAGTGAATATCATAATGCCAAGAACTGTGGTTTACACAATTAGAAAATTCATTTCAAGATCAGCATACACCACCTAAAGGAACATTTCTTCCAAGCAGTCCTCGCTATATGCTGTATGTCAACCAAAGACAGAGATAGAGAGACGAATTACACACCTCATACATAGCATCCATCAGGAGGCTCTCCAATATGGATCGCAATCCACGAGCACCAGTATTTTTAGATATTGCTTTCTTAGCTATCAATCTTAACGCATCTTCAGTGAAATGCAGCTTTACCTGAGAAAGAAGTCTCCGAGTATGAGAAAAGTAAGTAATAAAAGTAAAGGAAAACCAGAAAAGTTCCTTCCTGCTCCTTGCCCAAAGAAATAAAATGTGAGCAGGATCTGAAAGAGATAAAAGAATGCAAATGCATCTTTATGCATATCCAGAGAAGTTTCTTAGAGAGGCAAATACTCACCCCATTCATTTGGAACATCTTTTTGTACTGCTTCCCTAGTGCATTTTTTGGCTCAGTTAGAACCTGCAACGAATCAAAACAGTGAGAAGGGAACAAACAACCTAGATTTGGCATATAGTCTCATATTCTGAATGAAAATCCTAGAAGAGTGACCCAAAGGCATAAATAATGTCCAACCATGTCCAGGATTCAAACAAACAAAGAAGAACGGCTTTCCATAAAAAATAATTATGTGCATAAAGCAGTTAGTACTATAGAACAAAAGTGACAGAAGACATTAGCATTACCTGCACAAGTTGATTCTCAGTTAAAGCTGACAGATTAACAAGGATGGGGAATCGTCCAACAAACTCAGGTATCAGACCATATGATATCAGATCACTACTTTCAACCTGCATAACAGGAGAATTATGTAATAGGATTAGTAAAAACTTCAAAAAGTTACCCATCAGAAAAGAAGTAGATAAGCAAACTTGTTTGTCCCTTTTTGTTATTGTTGCAGCTAAATTGGCCATAAAATAATCCATTTTATTTAAAAGATAAAACTTAAATATTTAGAAACTACATGAAAGTACTATAAGTCAGAACCTTTCCATATCAAAACGACAAAAGAAATACATTTAAAAATCTAAGTGAAAGATCACTTCTAATGGAACATGGAAAAAGAAGTCTGTCATGAAGCGTAAAGGTCAACCATTTTAGGTAAGAAGAAGTACATGAAACACAAGCACATACAACTCCCCATCTGCAAAATACAACAAGGAGAAAACCGAATCCCAGTAATAGGGTGTTCGATATGCAGGAGAATAACGATAACTAATAGTAAAGACACAGTTTCACATCTTGGCACATTAATAAGTTACTATCTCAGTTCATGTTGTTGCAAATATTTGACTTCATCTGATGCATATGCAACTAAATTTATTGGGACGATAGGCGTCTTAGCATTTCCATAGTCATCAGTTTCTTACTTCAGATAATATGGTGCTGCATCTATGATAATGCAAAATACAACCACAATCAAGCTAAAAGTACTCTTAGTATATATGCTCTGATCGGTCCGCCAAGCTGCAAGATTGAAGAACTTACTATCTCCAATAAAGATGATGTCACAGCAGCACTTGTAACACCACCAGTCCTCATGTTTGCGCGAACTGGTGCACCGAACCCTATAGAAGAATCTTGGCGCCTGAAAACATCAACAAGTATATCTTGCAGGAATAAGGTAGATGTCAGCCTAAATGGAAAGAAAATAAGAACTACAATGGGCAAGTAGTAAGACCTCTCTGATATTGTTTTCTCCAAGTCAATGAAGGCACCACCGCATATAAAGAGAATATCTTTCGTATCAATCTGTAATAACATAAATAACAAGGCTAATAGAATTTTTTGGCTCAAAGACACATCTGTAAAACATCAAACCAACAATACAACCTAGCATGGCAGAAGAGGCTCAAATGGGCGTCCAACAAATAGAAAGAGCGTAAAGAGTAAACAAAATAAGTACAAAATCTCTTATCTTCTTTTTTACAAAACAAATGTCTTCTACCCACACCAAAAAGCTAAACAAAACAGTTAATATATCTCACTTATAAAGACAACTTATAAAGACAGTAAATGATACGCAATTGCTCATCGATGGTAAAGTAATTCACAGTAAAGAACTAAGAACAACATCTTTACCTGCAGGACTTCCCAAATTTCTCTTGATTATGAAAGAAACATCTTAATCCCAAAAAAGAAGTGCTTTTATAACCATCTTACCTGAATATTATCCCCTCTAGGGTGCTTCCGAGCTCCCTTCTCCGGCACATTGACTATCTGCACCAGAAAGCTCAATATTTTTACGATGGGTACAAAAAACTCAATATTTTTTCTTTTGGGATAAGTATAACAGAAAGCTCATTATAGTAACAAACAAATGATGCAACCATTCCTTTTTCTAATCATTATCACTGAACTATAGATTGTAAATTGATCTGTTATAGCAAGTCCACCGACTAAGATAGTCAGGGGGCCATTATCACAGAAATTCTTTGGCACATCTAAAGGTCATTAGAAACCATACCATCCTTTTTCGAATGCTTTGGAGACACAATATTCAATCAATTCTGACAAGCATCATCAGAGTAGAGAAGAAAGAGGAAAGAATTGTTAGCACTTGCAGACTGTAGCGGGAAACCAAAAGGCGATGAAATAGGTATCACGGCCACCAGCACTATAAACATTAGTTCATAGTCGATGAGCCACATTTAGCCAGTCAGTGGGATCTAAAAAGCAGCTAACCTAGTTCAGTAAGACCAGTCAACACTAAGCTTCCAACTCTCAAGTGATCCATCCATAACAGCCTGGTAATTTTCATATGCAGCTACATCTCATTTCAAAGCAAGTCACCCATACGAATCCTCAATTATCATGCTGTTCCTTTTAAGTTCATCTTATACCAACATTCACTCTCATATAATATTTCTGGTCTTACAACTATTTTATAGAACTTACATTTCACTTTGGTGGGTATCCTTCTATCACATAACACCCCGGTAGTCCTCTCCATTTCAACCATCTATTTTTATCCTATGTGTAACATCATACCCCAGTGATTTTCGTATACAAAAGCATTTTGTCTAGCTCTAATCTTAACAGACCAATAACAGTCAAAGTTGCTTCTGCATTTGCGCCATCAACTAATACCCATTCAATGATAAAAGTTGTGAGGATCGATTCACGATTAACAAGCAAAAACTAAGGTGAACACTTACTGTTCCTTCAAGCATCTTCAACAATGCCTGCTGGACGCCCTCTCCTGAGACATCCCTACTGATGTTGAGGCTTTCAGCCTGGAAATGTCAGTATAATAGGAATCAGCTAAATTGACACATGAAAAGTCGCCAGCGAAAGTTTAATCTGTAAAAGGAAAGTATAGTCTATGAGCTAACATCTACCTTTTTCGTGATCTTGTCAACTTCGTCAATATACACTATGCCTTGCTGAGCAGCTGCTACATTATAGTCAGCAACCTGAAATAAAATCAGACCAGAATAATCAAAGGATAACATATATCAAGGCTAGAAATCACTGGAAAGGATGCAAAACAATATTATGTTCCCACTAAAAAGCAAGAACATCTCACAAGTAGTGACCAGTTTTCTTTCCTCCTCCATTCCTAAACCCTAAATTGGATATTGCAGTGATTGATGGTGATGAGTTAATTAGACACACAAAACAGAAAATTACTATAAATACAGAAATGAAAAAGGTCGCAATTGGTACTATAGACTTCTAGCCACCAAATTGCTTGGAGAACAAAACATCCTATAGGCTATATCTACTCCTTTTACTAGGATTTTGTTACAAGTTTGAAAAAAGCTAGAACTTGATTTGTCAGCCCCCTCCAGTAAAATAGAAAATATAGTAGAACATTTTCTTATATCAGGGGCATTATCTGTCATATTCAGAAAAATCATCAAATAAGCACTTTTCTGCATCACATTGGCTAGAATTAAAACCTATGCTTAAATTGGCAAGGATGAAAAGATAATATTTCTTCTTCTTTTTCCGTGTAAAATACTCTAAGAAATGAGATATGGGGATAAAACAATAAACTGAGATTAAAGACTGAAAAGGTATAGTACTTACAGTAAGGAGCTTATATAGAATGGATTCAACATCTTCCCCAACATATCCTGCCTGCAAACAAAAGTATTGTCATGAATGGGAACCAAAGCTTTCGGACTCCGATCAAGGTGCCAATTATTTTTAATAGTAACATCAAATGGTTTCTGCTATTCTACTTCTAGAAAAGACCATCAAGAATTAAGTTTTGGGAAGACGGTAAGCAAGGATTTAAATAAACATGCTCTGAAAATTAACTTAGCCACCAGGGAATTATCATTGTTTAAACTCAAGATAGACACAGATTAAAATGGGCATCTTGTATGTTCATGTTAGCCGAAATTAGGATATTCAAGTCTCATTCTATCTATTTGCATAGGTATCAATCTCTTGGAATGACAAAACAAGGTTTTCACAATTTTAGTCCTAATGGACATAATAATAATAATAATAATAATAATATTTTGAGCTAGACACGTGAAATTTCATAGTTGTTGAATAGTGAAATTCAGGTGTGACGGAGCAACTTACCTAATCGTCATGAGATTAGCTATTCTTTATTTCCATCTTCTTACAACTTCACTTTTTTAACATTTTCTTCTCATCTTATAAAAAAAAAGACTCTTTTCTCATCTTGCCTTCAGCTTCTAAGGAGAACTGTTTCAATGACTTTGTCCCATCAAAGCTTCTCACATGCACCAATCTACTACATGGCCTTAAATGACAACACCAGCACTTAAAAACATTCTCATCTTCAATAGATGAGACAGGTCTTCTACATTTACAATGAATCAAACTGCAACAAGCTCAATTGCAGCCCTGAGTTAATCCAGATTTCCCACCCTCCACAACCTAAATCTGACCTCAAGCAGACTATTCGGAGACGGTTCCTCAGGCTTATGGGATCTCTAATGTTCAAACAACTTAACATAATGTGTAAAAACAACAATGCGTGGAAAGAAACAAGATTTAGACAAAAATTGATTTCTTGCAAAGATTATTAAGCCGGGATAGATGTTTTCTATCTCTACCAAGGTGACAGGATAACAACACACCTGAGTTAGTGTAGTCGCATCTGCTATCACAAATGGAACATTCACCAATCGAGCCAAGGTCTTGGCAAGTAAAGTCTTCCCTGTCCTTGATATGACACCAATATACACAAGTGAAAAAGTAATATTTTTAACAATTAAGGATCATAATTTTAGCAATGATAATGGCAATAGTAAAGCTCTATCAATTCATACCACCCCACCCCACCCCCCACCCCGGCCTACCACGAAAAAGAAGGGAACCCAAGATAAGTTGAGGGCTAAAAGGATAAAAAGAATAAAGGAGAATGACGCTTTTAAATTACATGATCATTAGTCTTAAAGAAAATTCATGTGGCCCTCTCATCATCACATTTTTAGCCTTAATATACAAAGCTAAATCTGAAGTATCTATTTATCAGCGCACATGTTTGCTCTTTGACATTATGAAGCAGACAATGAGCAATTAGCTTGAGTCCCTCGTACCACCACTACAAGTGAATAGCACTTCTCACTGTCTTTCAAAAAATTTCACAACTAAAAAGAAAAAGAAAGCAGGAGAAAGGGAAAAAAGATTTCTCTGCTGATGAATCTAAAGTTCCACTACGCGACAGGCGTATTAGTCTACAATGTGTTTTTACCACACTTTAGACTTCAAGAAGCACAATGGATCATTATAAAGATTACCTGAACCTGTCGGCCCCATTAAAAGGATGTTACTCTTCTCAAGCTCCACGGATTCATTTTCTGCTCCATCTGCTTTTTCACTACTGTCATTTCCTGTGGGCCTATGTTATCACATTTAAACAATAGCATTAGAAGAGTAAAAAAAGTGGCAAATGCCTGCATTAGGCATTTCCATCTCTGACTTCCCACGGTCCAAATAACTTCATAGCGCATGTTACAACTCACACGTCAGAGGTAAAACATAAAGTACAGGGAAGGGGGTCGGTGAAAACAATGTGGAAATTATGCAGTGATCAAAACTAACCACTTATGTGAAGAGTCATTATATATTCTCTTGTAATGATTATATACGGCTACAGAAAGAACCTGCAATCACAAATTGAATTACAAAATGATAAAGGAAGTCACTCTTGCAGCTCAAGATAGTGCTTTTTTGCTGTATTAGTATTGTAATCAACAAAGAAAGCATAAAAAATCTACACTCTAAAGGGTACTCAGAATTATCAATTCCAAAAGATAAAACTTGAAAAAGATTACCTTTTTAGCTCTCTCCTGTCCAATAACAAACTTATCAAGCCCTTTACACAGCTGCTTGGGTGTAGGAAAATGGGAACCCAAATTGGATCCACCCCATAACCCATCTTTTGACCCGGAACCAAACCCACCTCCAGAACCCGGTCCGGGACCCCCCTCCCCTTCACCAGCCTGAACAAACTTGACACCTGGACGAACCATAATTCCCTCACCACCAGGTGGCTGCCAAATCTCAGGTGGCTCCCCTCCATAGTTACTACTAGAAGACATGCTGATTTTCTCTTTATTCTTATTATTATTCTTCCTATTTGAATAATTCTGTGAACTCTTGAATTCACCAAGAAATGAAACAGGCTTGAATAAAGAAGAATTATGAGGAGCAGACGAGTTTGAGAGCAAATTGTCCCATTTGCTGGTTCGGGTACATAAATGGAAATTGGGTAAACGACCCGTATGAAAATCATTGATGATGAAGTATCTGAAGTGGGTTATAGCCATAGAGGCTCTGTGTTTCGATCTAAATGCAGCTGCCATATGTGCTTAGTTTAAAAAAGTGAAAATTCAGTAGGAAAGATACTTTCTTTATATATCTGAAGAAGAAGATAAATAGAAATTTCAAGATTGGAGCTTTGTGGGAGAAGAGAAGACTTTTGTGAGATGACCCATCAGATCCGAAATTGAGAAATTGTTTCGTGGGTATTTGGGATTAAGGTTTTTAGTAGAGAAGTGAATGATGGAGGAATGAGGATTTTAGTAGAAATATCCGAACAAGGAGTGAAAGCAGGCAAAGAAAATGAAAGTTTTAATTTGGTAGGAAGGACATCAATCTTTCCGGAATATCTATTTTTGGCGCATCCTGTATGATTCTCCACCAAGTAAGAAACGACGCCGTACGGATTCTCTAAGTTGGGTAGGTGACGGGTCGGGGTGGGGGTACAATGGAAAAGGATTTAAAAAAAAAATATATATATATATATATATATTACAGCCGATTTTAAGACAAATAAATAGGTGCACCACATGTATTTGCATGTAGACTTCTCTACGTAATCATAGTAAATTAGTATACTCACTGTAATCTCATAAATAAAATCTGGGAAAGGTACGCTAACATTATCTCCTACCTTGAAAATAATAGAAATGATGTTTCTCGTAAACAAATTAATGTTTGCTTAATGTTGAATAAAAAAGATTTCGTTTTGATAATTTTATGGAGAACTAAATTCCTAACCTTTATTCAGATTCCACTTCTTTTAACAAATTTGTAGAGATTTTGGGAATTTTCTCGATAATAATGGTGTTATGATGATAGGCTATAAATGCATATTTTAGTCGCTTATTACATTCGAATTTACTGCACTTTGATTGAGTTTGCGCTTTAATCGCTAGTGTTTTGCACTAATTGTGTGTTTTATGCCTTGTAGGTGTGATTCCGAGCTATATAGATGTTATGGAATGAATTTAAGTGATTTGAAGCTTTGAAGTCTGAGTAAAAGCTCAAGGAATTAAGTCGGGATCGTGTCAGATACACTTGGACCATAAAAACCCGTGCTCAAAATATTTTTATTTTCGAGCACAGGTTTGTCGGTAAAAAAAAAATTATTAGAAGTTGGACAGGTAAGGAAATTTCTTGTTGAGCTACGTACTTACTTAAAAACTAATAAACCTCAATTCCAAGAAATCATATCTTCTACCAAGACATTTACCGAGGAAGCAGAAGCCCTTTTGAAAGAAGCTATTCAGGAACAAATGGACCGTTTTATACTTCAGGAACAAGCATAAAGAAATATTGATCACTTTTGTCTTAATCTTAATAAAAAACAGTCAAAACGATTAATTATTAACTAATTTAAATGAAACTTGACTTCTGAGTTCTTAGCCAAAATTGACGAAATAAAATGAAAAAGATTCTAATTTCATGTCTTAAATGAAATGAGTGGACTAGAATCGGCAGTATTCTAATAGATAGATAGTATGGTAGAAAGAAAGGGGGGTCAAATTTGATAATTAAGTACGAACTAAGACTCGAGGAGGCATATTGCGCACTGTCTAGTAAAATAGACATAACTTTTTGCTCAGAACTCCATTTGTGCTCCACAATATATGATTGGAAAGCTAATTCAAAGGGCTACAACTTTCATGTTTTACATTTTTCCAAATTCCGAACAGAACAGTGTGAAAAATGCGGTCAAAACCGCGACCGCAGAACTGACCGCGGCAGAAATCAGAGAGCTTGTCTGGCCGCGGTCCTACCGCGTTTTGACCGCGGCCGCGCCCCTCCAGGCGTCAAAAAGAAGTCTTATTTCGCCCGGGACAAGATTATTTCGGCCCTACACTATTCCAACTTGTATAAAAGGGTTCCTAAACCTATTTTGAAGGAGAGGGGAAATATTTTGGACACAAATTAGACCTAAGGAGGCGGAGAGACACTACTTTAGGGTTAGACAACACCCTTGGAGGCAAGAACACATTGGGAGCAAGGCGGAGAATTCTTCTACGAGTTTTTTCCTTCCTCTTCCTATTTTTCATTGTTGGTTATGACTTTTAGTATTGTAGTTTTACATACTATTATGAATAGCTAATTTGTTATCTAGAGTTTTGATAGAACCTTTTGTAGGATAAATTCTTGTTATGTTTTTATATAATTGAGCCATAGCTTTTCTCTATTTGTTCAACTACGTTTATATTGTGGTTGGTTGAAGAGCTCTCAATTAGCTGTGCCTATTTAGTATGCATAACTCGGGAGAGAGTGCATATTTAGGTAATTGTTGAACAACACCACTCCCAGAGTATATGAGGGATCAATAACCGAGGGTTTAAAGGGGGGATTAGGGATAACGAAGCCTTGGGTGCGATCTGAAGTGAGCTGTATTGAAAGCCAGCTAGCGTAGCTCGGGAGAGTGCGTCTAGTAAATTGTTGTAATTACTCGGGAGAGATTTACGGTAATAAGAGTGCTCATGATCGGTAGAGAATACTTAGGTGAAATTATAGAAGACATAGCGGGAAGGATTCCGACAATTGGGGAAATCATAACTCTAGACCTCCTTAATCTTTTCTCTAACCCTCAGTATCGTTAGTTGTTAATTTACTATTTTAATTTGTTAGTTAATTAGTTAAACAGAAGCATCTTAATATCTATAAGTTAGGAATTGTTCAAGCTTGTCTTCTTGGTGATAGTGAACAGCTGTAGCTAAACCTTGGTTCTCTGTGAGATTCGACTCCGGACTTGTAAACCGGATTATATTTGCAGCGACCGCTTAGTCCTTTTTATAAGGCATAGTTGGACGTGATCATTGACAAATGATATGGTTGAATAAAAAATGAGATGTTTATATGTGACGGTTTCTGATAAACGTCAAATTTTCAATATTAGAGAGTTTGAAAAGATAAAAAATTTCACTAAAAAGAATTAAATCAACTAATGAAGTGTTAATTCTAAAATAGCACAAATCACGTGAGCAATATTTTAATTAGACTATTTGTCTAATTGACATAGTTATCCACAAGATATTAACTTTTAATAAAATAATTANGGGGGGAGGGGGAAATAGCCAGATTTACAACTGGTAATTGAAAAATAGTCACAGTTCCAAAAATAATCGAAATTTAGCTATTTTTTTATGTAAAGATAAAATCTGAATAAAAACACCCTTAAAAATCTGAAATATTCCAGCATAATATGATGCAGTTCGAATTTTTGATATATGGGCTTCCAGCATAATGTGTTGGAGTTCCAACACAAGCGAGAAGTTTATATGCAGGAACTCCACAATCCAGCATATTAGGCTGGAACTTTCCGTGTGCTGGAGTTGTAACATAATATGCTGGAAATTTATATGCAGGAGCTCCATAATCTCGTACATTATGCTGGAACTTTCCGTATTTCAGCAAAATAGTGACTATTTTTTAACGGCTTTGGAAATGCTACTTATTTTTGATTATCAATCCGAAAAAAGGCTAGCTTGTGCTATTTTCACTGAAAAAGGTGAGGGAAATGATGGGGAAATAGTATCTCTATGAGTTTAAAAAAACTCTTACCACAAAAATATCTACATGCATTTATCTATAAAAGGTAGAATTTACAATCCTGAAAATAATATAGGTTATATGTTACAAATTATAATATATAAAAGCGACTTGACAAAATATAATTTTAATAATGTTGGTGTGTGCAAATTAAAGTCTATCTATACTTATTTTGTTTGATACTCTTCCTTTACCATATTATATGTCGAAGTTTTAATAAAGTATAATGTTTAAGAAAGAAAGATTTTTAGCACACCACTCTTAAAATTTATTATCTTAAATATACCACAATATTTTTATGATTACAAGACCATGTCATTAAGAATAAAAAAAAAAAAATTAAAGCTAAAACTTCTTGAATATAAAAAGAAGTCGTATTTTTGTAAACAGAATAGAAAAGAAGATAATGACATATAAAGTGAAATAAAGAGAGTAGTAGTATTTTATTTTACTTTTTTGGGGGTTATTGATGATAGACTATAATTACGTATATTAGTTGATTATTACACTCTAATTTACTGCACTTTAGTTGAGTTTGCGCTTTAATCGCTAGTGTTTTGCACTAACGGTGTGTTTTATGCCTTTTAGGAGTGATTCCGAGCTATATAAATGGTATGGAATGAATTCAAGTGATTTAGAGCTTTGAAGTCTGAGTAAAAGCCCAAGGAATTAAGCCGGGATCGTATTCGGGGATCAACGGATGATAAACCAACAAAACGAAGACTCGAGGAGGCATATTGCGCACTGTCTAGTAAAATAGACATAACTTTTTGCTCAAAACTCCATTTGGGCTCCACAATATATGGTTGGAAGGAAAACTCAAAGGGCTACAACTTTCATGTTTTATGTTTTTCCAAATTCCAAATATAACAGGGTCAAAAACCATAATTACGGTAGGACCGCGGTAGGACCGCGGCAGAACATTACCAAAGATTCAGAGGACCATTCTGGCTGCGGTCCTGGCGCAATCGCGGCAGGACCGCAGCAGGAAGCGAAAATTTCAGGGACCAAAGTGCAAAACACGGGATTTTAAGCCCTAAACCCTATATTAAACGAAGGAAGCCGGCCAAAAGACAGGAGGGGAAATATTTTTGACACAAATTAGACCTAAGGAGGCGGAGAGACACTACTTTAGGGTTAGACAACACCCTTGGAGGCAAGAACACATTGGGAGCAAGGCGGAGAATTCTTCTACGAGTTTTTTCCTTCCTCTTCCTATTTTTCATTGTTGGTTATGACTTTTAGTATTGCAGTTTTACATACTATTATGAATAGCTAATTTGTTATCTAGAGTTTTGATAGAACCTTTTGTAGGATAAATTCTTGTTATGTTTTTATATAATTGAGCCATAGCTTTTCTCTATTTATTCAACTACGTTTATATTCTGGTTGATTGAAGAGATCTCAATTATCTGTGCCTATTTAGTATGCATAACTCGGGAGAGAGTGTATATTTAGGTAATTGTTGAACAACACCACTCCCAGAGTATATGAGGGATCAATAACCGAGGGTTTAAAGGGGATTAGGGATAACGAAGCGTTGGGTGCGATCTGAAGTGAGCTGTATTAAAAGCCAGCTAGCGTAACTCGGGAGAGTGCGTCTAGTAAATTGTCGTAATTACTCGGGAGAGATTTACGGTAATAAGAGTGCTCATGATCGGTAGAGAATACTTAGGCGAAATTATAGAAGACATAGCGGGAAGGATTCTGACAATTGGGGAAATCATAACTCTAGACCTCCTTAATCTTTTCTCTAACCCTCAGTATCGTTAGTTGTTAATTTACTATTTTAATTTGTTAGTTAATTAGTTAAACACAAGAATCTTAATATCTATAAGTTAGGAATTGTTCAAGCTTGTCTTCTTGGTGATAGTGAACAGATGTAGCTAAACCTTAGTTCTCTGTGGGATTCGACTCCGGACTTGTAAACCGGATTATATTTGCAGCGACCGCATTGTCCTTTTTATAAGGCATAGTTGGGCGTGATCATGTTAGAAACATTGCAATTGTTTCATTTCATCGAATACTTGTAATCTTTTACTAACATAGATATTAAATAATTTTGTTAATCAAAGTGTAATAAATAGGAAGAAATATTTTTCTTTCTGTTGGAATATAAATGGTAGTAGTATCTCATAAGTTTTACCTCACTTTATTTAAGGATTCGAGTAGTTTCGAATTCAAGATTCTACAAATTCAACTTTTCACTTGAATTATATCTGTCATATACTTTGCTCTAACGAATTGAAAAACGCATGATCAGCAAGTTATGACGTATACGTCATCTATGATGTTAGACCATGTCGTCCTAGACGTAATAAAATGCTATCATCTCGCTTTGTTGTGTAAGAGACTTTAATAGAAAAACTAGCACATTCTCATGATTAATCATTAATCAATAAGTTTCCTAGTTAAATTGATAAATTTTAGGTATTCAAGCTACTATTTTTTGGAACCTGACACGAATTGATACGAGTCAACAACAACAACAAACCAGTATAATCCCACAAGTGGAGTCTTGGGAAGGGTAGTATGTACGCAATCTTACCCCTACCATGAAAGGGCAGACACGAATTGATACAAGTGCTGATAAAATAGCATTCGGAATTAAAAACAAATTAAAATTCTTCAAATCTTCACTTGTTCTTCTTCTCTCTGTTTTTGAGAAGGTAAAAGGCTTGTTTAAATCTTCACACTTTTCTTTTCCCAACTTACTGCTAACCCGAAAACTTGGTAACCTGAACTCCATTTCTGAAAGGGTAAAAGTTCAGCTTTGCCATGATTTGGGGTAAATGTATGTCAAGAGAACCAAGAAGCGGTTAGTAAAGTTGTTAAAAGGTTGGTTAGACAATCAAGAAGTAGTCAATCATTGAGCCAAAAAATTTATCGCATTGCCTCTTGATTCTCCTTCTCTCCCTCTACTCTTTCTGATTCTCTCTTTCTTCCTTCATTCTCCCTTCTCTCTTCCTTCTGTTCTTGTCTGTTCGCCATAGGCTACATGCGGAGAAGAGCTTAACCCAAGATCTGACCCCCCGTGTAGGAGTTCGGGGGGGGCAA